TTGTTATGAATTTAGCCGAGTGGTGGCCTTTCGTTGCCAGCCGAGCGCATCGAGCGTTGCGCATCTCGATGACTTGGCCCGCGTCGCACCGTCTCGTTGGCCGGCCGGCTGTCTAATTCGTTCGCTCGTGCTGCTGGCTGGCTGTCTGCCTGGCAAGTTAAATGGGTTGGCTGTCTCGTGCACTGGCAACCTTGCTGTACATTTCATTTAGCTTTTTGGACGGTTGTACGTTAACTTGCTGACCATCGTGTCTGTCTGGTCGTGTGTCTCTGTGGCTGCGCGCCTAATGTCTGTCTGTCTTTCTGTCTGTTTCTTTGACCAGCTGTCTACCTTTGTGTGTTGACCGTCTGTGTCTGCTTCCATGTCTCTCTGTGTGTCTTGCTTGTCTGCCTGGGTGTCTTTAATCTCTGGCTGTGTATCTCTCTGTGTGTGTTGTCTATGCGTCTTGATCGTCCGTATGTATAGTGTGTCTGTGTGTCTTGATTGTAACTCTGGATGTGTCTGTTTTCATTGTATGTTAGGCTGCGTATCTCACTGTGTATTCGTCTGTGTGTCTTGATTGTTAATTTTGCTGTGTATTTGTGTAGCGGTTAGTGCGCTGCGCTATGAACCCGATGACCCGAGTTCAATTCCCGCACACTGTCAACACACACCAGTGGTAATTATCTAAATCGGTCATGGGCCTCCCCTAGATCGATTCAGCCTCAATGAGTACCTGGTGTGGTGTGTAAACATCACCGCTGGGAAGACAAATGTGGTGTGGCGTTTCCACCCACCCTCTCGTGTGCCATGCCTGCTTTCATAGGTGCTCGCTAACAGCACTTGCCTGAACAGTCTATTCAGGCTATACGGGGAAGCTTTGTCTTTGCCTTTGTCTTGATCGTATGTCTGGCTGTGTGTGTCTAACTGGCCGGCCACAGCGCTATAAGCAATGTCTCCTTTATATTTAGCCGTGGGGAGTCGCCCAGAAAACAGCAGCCCTCTCAGCACCTGCCGGGACCTGCCTTCCCAAAATACCCGGCAAGGAGGGGGACAGTGGAAGCCCATGCAGGGCATCGAGGGTGGGTGGGGTGAGGGGCGGGCGGGCGGGCGGGCGGGCGGGTGGGCAGGCCGGCCGGCGGAAAGCGGGGTCTGGGTGAAGCATAGGAAGATGCACCGGGAGCCCAGGGCTGGCAGGGTTGGCTCTTGATGGTCCACAATGGCCGTGTCGGAGACACCGAGCCGGCACCGCTGAGATCCTGGGTTCCACGGTGGCGAGATGTTAACTACTACCCCACCTGGTATACAGGAGTTCGGTGGTTAGATCCCGACCCTGACGCATGTATAGTTGGAGTTTGGATCTCTCTCTCTCTCCGTGTTCGTGTGGATTCACGCGTTTGGAGAGTTTGGTTGCTTTAATTTTCCACATTCTAAGCCCCTTGGTTGAGCTGTAATTTGTGATGGCCCGGAACACTCCGTGGGCTTTACCTGGGAAAATAAAATAAAAAGTGAATAGTTAAATAGTTAATCGTTAAGAATCTGAGTCCGGCCATCCGTGAGTAAAACCTGGGCCTCGAGTGTGACGAGCGGACGGTCCCGGCTCGGCTACCAATAGCTGCAGGGAAAAAAATCGTTGTGTATTAAAATAAAATCAGCTGAATTCCAGCTATGAGAACTTCAAATATATTCTTTGAGTCTTTCGGTAAAGCCACGTAAATAGAATTTTTTTAAGAAGAATAATAAAATAATAACAATATCACGACATTTCGATCGCAAGACAAGCAATCATCATCAGGTGAAAAAATATAGCGGGAGAGCTGCTGAGGCAGGAAAAAGATATATGGCGGGAGAGCTGCTAAGGCAGGATGTTATAAAGGTTTGAGATGGGTGTAGCCCAATGGTAAATGGGCGGGGCTAGAGATGAAATTAGCATGTCAATGTAAGAAGTTTGAATGTAAATGTAAGATCGGAGAGCTGTGGGGGTGGCCATTGTATCGTGAGAGATCAGCATGTCAATGTACTATATTTGCATGTAAATGTAAAATCGGAGAGAGCTCAGCAAGAGCCACCGAGGAAAACGAGCAACGGTAGCTGTGTTAGTGAATGTAACTCGGAGAGTCGAAAATCACTGCCAACATAGGCAGGTAGGAAGGGAACATCACAGCCAGTTAATTGCTCCGTTTGTCCCCATCTTCTCGGTTGAAAAAGTGTCTGTGTTTATATATCTGGATGGCTTCATGAACGAATCTTTGCTGATAGCCAGTGGGTTTGCAGAGTACCTTCGTCTTGGCAAAATCTATTTCGTGTGTGCCCACAGCGTTAAAATAATGCTCAGCCACGGCCGAGGTTTTGGTCCTACCGTGTTTCAGATCTGCCTTATGTTCACGGACCCGGTCCGAGACATGTCGCTTAGTTTCCCCAATGTAACTGCTGCCACAGCCACAGCTTAGTTTGTAGACACCGGGGTATTGCATGTCAGGGATCACCACTTCACAGATGGGATCAGATCACGAATTTTATGTACTATGTTGAATCGAACCTGGATCTTGTGTTTGCTCATGATCTTGGAAATATTTTTGGTGACCCCTGCTATGTATGGCAAGGTGATGGTCTACATTGGGTCCTCAGATGATTCTTCCCCAACGGTTGGGGTGATAGCTTTACAGATTGTGTAGTCCGAATATCCTTTCATCTTGAGGGCTTTGTGTACGTGCTCCAGTTCACTGGCTAGGGTGGTGATGGTCGGAAATACATCGAGCTCTGTGGTATAGAGTTTTGGTGAGGGAACTCTTCTGGGATGGATGATGGTGGGAATCAGGTTTTAAGAAAGCATCCGTATTGGTGGCTTTCCTGTAGACAGAGACTTCAAATATATCCAACGTTTTAACTCTCACGTGAGACATTTTTGTTTACGTAAGAGAGTGTGTGTGCGCGTGGGAAGGTGAGCTCCCTTAGTGTGTGAATTAGAAAAAAAGCTCTCTTGAAGGCATCTCTGAGGTAGTTCTGCGATGATTCTGGCATGATTATGCAATCGGGGAAAAATTGATGACTATGAGGATTCATTTTTCGTGAGGTCATTGGTGACCTGGCCGAGACCGTCAGCTCTGTGTAGTAGAGAACCCGGTTTAGTCACGGGCGACTGAAGCCCACATTCAAACCCAGGACCCCCGGCATTGTTGGCTGAGTGCTGTGACACTGGTGTTAATCTACTGCGGATTACATTGCAAAGAGCCCATTTACTGAGCTAATCCCGCAGAGTGTGTGATGCTTAATTAGGTGCGGAATGCTCGCAATTAAAGAAACCTTAATTAAAATTCTCCAATTATTTCCAATGCCCGTTCACCCCCAAAATCCCACCGACGCTCCTCTCATTAAGGCTTTCTTATTGATGTTTGGTTTGATTGATTATCTTCATTTAACGAGGTGAGAGCTCACTGAGATTCGTGGTAGATGTCGGAAGGATGACGACAGTTACGTAAACGTATTTGCCATTTCATTACACTGTCTGTTTGTCCACCCATTTGTCTAGATGTCCACTCATCAATCTGTCTGCCTGTCCATCCATCCGTCTTTACATCCATCCATCATTCTCTATGTCTGTAATCTACCTGTCTGTTTGGACATCCATCCATCCATGGTCATTTACGCAGGAACGCTCGAGTCTCACGACTTATTTTTCCATATCTCTTTTCATCTAGCGTCGAATCGGTCACCCACCCATCTATCTATCTGTGAGTCTGTCTGTGAGCCTGTCCACCATTCGGCAACCAACTCCTACCTCTCCTCGCAGCGCCAGGGGACAACGTGGTGGCGTGGTGTGTGGACAATGCCAAAGTCTGACATTATAGTCAAACCGATTACACTCGAAGCACGCTCACAGCCACCAACGTGGCAAGCGGCGGCTCCGGTCCCGTGTGGGGCGCTGGTTAATCCGTCCAACGTGGGTCTCGTTTGATGTGTGCACGAGTTCCCAAGGGGATAAGCGTCCGGTACATCCCCTAGCCAAACCCCTGCTCGGTCGAGCCAGGGGAATTAATCTCCCCCCCTCCCCGGCCCCATTTCTCGGAGCCCCCAGAAACAAAAAAGTAATCGCTGCTGCAGCTGGCCTGGTGGAATGTCCGAATGCTCTCTGGGGAGAAGCTGCCATTGCTCTGCTGGGCACTGGACCGGGGAGTTGAGTGAGACGAGAGGGGGGAGAGGTAGGTGCGGGCCCGGTGAATGAACAATATTGAATTTGGTGAAAGCAATATTGATATTGATCTGAGACTGGACTGGGTAGCGATGAAGGTATTGGAGTATTGGGGTGATGGTGGTCTCATTTATCAGCTCGGATGGGAGGGAGGTCTGGCGGCACCATTCTGCACTGGCTGGAGTTTGGAGCTGATGGATTTCGGAGGCCATAGCAGAGAGAGGTGCGATCGTCAAGTTGGATGAGGGCACGGATGAGAGTCTGAGCAATGGCTGCTGCAAGAGAGTGGCAGATGCAGGCTGGATCGTCCATAGCGGGGTGCGGGACCCAGGGCAAATCCCACTGTGTGGGTCCCCCGACGACTGCAAACTAAACCAGATCGGACATCTTGACGTCAAAGCGTGGGCCCCCCCCCCCCAAAGCGCGGGACCCGGGGCGGTCGCCCCGATTTCGCCGTGCCCCTAGAGATGGCTCTGGTTGCAGGAGATGTTCTGCTGATGGAGGTAAGAGCTCCTGCAGAGCTGTGACATGTGGGAAGCGAAGGACAGCTGAGAATCGATGGTCTCCGGATTTAATGTCAGAGCTTCAGAGGTGCTCGCTGAAGCTGGAGTCTTGACTGAGCTTGGAGTTTTTGTTATTTCATTTTTTTCCAATGAGGAGGGCTTCTGTTTTTGCAGCTAGGGGCCGCATCGGGGCAGGACATGGGTGTGAACAGCGATATTGGGTGCGGTATTAACCGGCATTCGCCACATATGCACTTGCGTCGACAGTCTCAAAGGCCGTATGGCGGATCATCATCGATGTCTGTCTCTATCTCTTTGTGTGCGCGCAGGTTCGTCCTGGTGCTGAGCTGCCTGGTGCTGTCTGTGTTCTCCACCATCCAGACGTACCAGGACGCCGCCTCCAAGGCGGTGCTGCTGCTGGTGAGGGCGCACGCATGCGCGGAGGCTCCACCCGGGCCTGCGTGGAGCGGAGGGCTAAGGGTCGGCGTCCTCCCGAATTCGTGAAGAACGACAACAAAGCCCTGACTGATCTAGACGTTTTTTTTTGTAGTCCCAGGCCAGGTCGATAAAGTGGAGATGTAGGTCCTGTTGAAATCCCCTTCCCTGCTCTTCTACTGCAGCAGATGGACCAAGAATATGGCCTCAGTGGAGGACTGCCCCTGCTCCTATTGTCCTCGAGACCCGATTTACCATGTCGGGTCTTATTTAAGAAGCTTCAGAGTTCGGGATCGTCCGCTATCTCGCGCCACCTCCCTCCCGCCTCCCACCTCCTTCATAGGTGCTCGCTAACAGCACTTGTCCCAACAGTCTGTTGAAGGCTATACGGGGGAGAGGGGATCTTCGTCTTTGCCTATCGTGTGTGTGTATATATATATATAGCGTGGGAATGTGCGTGTGCGTCTGCGCGCGTGCCGTGTCCGCGCGTGCGTCTGCGTGTCCGTGGGCAGGAGTACATCATGATCGGGGTGTTTGGCCTCGAGTACTTCGCCCGCATCTGGGCGGCCGGCTGCTGCTGCCGCTACCGGGGATGGAGGGGCCGATGTCGCTTCGCGCGGAAGCCGTTCTGCGTCATCGGTACGATGGCGGGCGGCACGAGGGAGACGGCTGCGACGCGTGCGCACCGCGTTGCCGTGCGGCGCTAAAAAAACAGGACTGATAATTTCACACGCAGTCAAACAGAAAATCTGGTGTTTTGTGAGCAAAACATATCATGGTAATTCCGCGACGGGGTCCACGGTGATCGCTCACTTCCCACGGCCTCGCGAAGACCGGCGGTGACGTGCGGACCCTGGTTAGGAGCCACTGCTCGTCTCGAGGCGCTCTCCACAGCTGCTGCCTGTCCAGCGAAGGAGGCCCTTTGGCCAGCCGTGGCGCCAGCAAGACATTGCAGGGCCGCACTTCACATTTTAATTCGTCTTAGACGTGCGCGTGATTTCAGGAAGGGGGCAGAGCTTGGTATCGCACTTCTAGGCGGTACGTACGGATGATATACAGCAGAGAAAGAGACGGTTGCTATGGTTATGGAAAGGGTAGCGTTTGTTTTTGCCCTTGAAGTTGCTCCCTAAATACTTTAAGTTGTTGAATAAATCACTCATTTAGCGTTCTTCACTTGATTCTTGTACGTAACTCCGTGACTGGGGTACCAATCAATCCGAAATCGGTGCTACTCCGCGATGTTTGAAAGCCAAACATTAGCATAGAAAATCCGTTATCGAAAAAAGCAATTTTTCTTTAACGTGTACAGCTCGTCGAGATGAGTCGATTGCCGCATCGCCGACCATCAGCAGACTAAAAATGACCGCATCGCGGACATTGAGGGAGCCGGGGTACTATGGAACCCCGAGGTACCGCCATAAGGTTCACTTATTTATCATTACGAGACCACATCCTGAGTGCAATCACTTCAAACGACCTCAGTAGTCGGGTGCCGAGAAAGAAGGAGAGGAGAGCAAAGAAAGTTAGACAGAAGAGAGCCGAGGGCTCCGTTTTGTCGTGCGCACGTCGCTCCGCGCTCTGAGCTCCGCGTCGTCGCTCGCTGTCCCGCTGGTGTGCGCAGACATCATCGTGCTGATCGCGTCGCTGGCCGTGATCATCGCCGGCACCCAGGGCAACGTGTTCGCCACGTCGGCGCTGCGCTCCCTGCGCTTTCTGCAGATCCTGCGCATGGTTCGCATGGACCGGCGCGGCGGGACCTGGCGGCTGCTGGGCTCCGTGGTGTACGCACACAGCAAGGTGAGGGTCACGTGGTGTACACACACAGCATGGTGAGGGTCACGTGGTGTACACACACAGCATGGTGAGGGTCACGTGGTGTACACACAGCAAGGTGAGGGACCCGTGGTGTACACACAGCATGGTGAGGGTCATGTGGTGTACACACACAGCATGGTGAGGGTCACGTGGTGTACACACACAGCATGGTGAGGGTCACGTGGTGTACACACGGCATGGTGAGGGACCCATGGTGTACACACACAGCATGGTGAGGGTCACGTGGTGTACACACAACATGGTGAGGGTCACGTGGTGTACACACAGCATGGTGAGGGTCACGTGGTGTACACACAGCATGGTGAGGGTCACGTGGTGTACACACAGCATGGTGAGGGTCACGTGGTGTACACACACAGCATGGTGAGGGTCACGTGGTGTACACACAGCAAGGTGAGGGTCACGTGGTGTACACACACAGCATGGTGAGGGTCACGTGGTGTACACACACAGCATGGTGAGGGTCACGTGGTGTACACACACAGCATGGTGAGGGTCACGTGGTGTACACACACAGCATGGTGAGGGTCACGTGGTGTACACACAGCAAGGTGAGGGTCACGTGGTGTACACACACAGCATGGTGAGGGTCACGTGGTGTACACACAGCATGGTGAGGGTCACGTGGTGTACACACACAGCATGGTGAGGGTCACGTGGTGTACACACACAGCATGGTGTGTCACGTGCGCGCACCGCCCCCCCCCCACCGCAATCCCTCCAGGATTTCAATAATTTGCCCCCCCAACCACCACCACCCCTTTGATGTGGATAATGTTTCACATTTTTTTGTTCACTGTTCCATTCGTGACTCAATTTCTTTTTAATTATTATTGATGAATGTGACTGCAGGGCCTGCATGAAACAACCACACTGAACACACACACACATATGCACACACACGCATGCACACGCGCCCCGCGCGTCAGAATCTGTTTGAAACGGCGTGGTGATGCATCACTACGTGCTTACGTAATAGCCACAACACCTGGTGAAATCGCAAGGCACCTAGCCTGGCACGGGCCTGTCCGCGGCGGTGACGGTGCGCGGTGTCGCGGTGTGCAGGAGCTCATCACGGCGTGGTACATCGGCTTCCTGGTGCTCATCTTCTCCTCCTTCCTCGTCTACCTCCTCGAGAAGGACGAGGATAACAAGTACTTCGAGACGTACGCCGACGCGCTCTGGTGGGGCACGGTGAGGCGCGGCACACACGCACACACGTACACACACACACACGTGCACACACACACACACACACGCACACACGCACACACGTACACACACACACACGTGCACACACACGAACACACACACGTGCACACACACGCACACACGTACACACACACACACGTGCACACACACGCACACACACACACACACGTGCACACACACGTGCACACACACGTGCACACACACGCACACACGTGCACACACACGCACACACACACACGTGCACACACACACGCACACACACACGCACACGTGCACACACGTGCACACACGCACACACACGTGCACACACACGCACACACACACACACGTGCACACACACACGTGCACACACACGCACACGCACACACGCACACGTGCACACACGTGCACACACACGTGCACACACACACACGTGCACACACACGTGCACACACACGTGCACACACACGTGCACACACACACGTGCACACACACACACATGCACACACACACACACGTGCACACACACACACACGTGCACACACACACACACGTGCACACACACGCACATACGCACACACACGCACATACGCACACACACACACGTGCACACACACACACACACGTGCACACACACACACGCATGCACACACACGCACACACGTGCACACACACGCACACACGCATGCACACGCACACACACACGCACACACGCACACACACACACGTGCACACACACACACACACACGTGCACACACACACACGCATGCACACACACACGTGCACACACACACACACGTGCACACACACGCACACACGCATGCACACACACACGCATGCACACATGCATACACGTGCTCACGCAGCCACGGACAAACTCCCAGCCATAGTCCTAACTCTCACCATAGTCTTAACGTGAACCCCCCCCCCCCAACCCTTGCCTTGTCTCAAACTCCACCCATCATCGCTTTGGCATTTCGGCCCCCAAATCAAGATCACGAGTTTCTCTGCGCCACCCCCACCTCTTCCACACCCCCCCCCCTTCCCCATGCCACAACCCACGGGTGACTAAGGGCGCAATACTGAGAGAGATGATGTCGCAATGCATCTGGTCAATGCGGCGTTGGTTTCGTGTTGTGTGTCTTTGCGTGGTTTGTCGCCGCGGCGTGACGCTGACCTTCCCCGCGCACGTTTGAGATTTCCTCTACTTGCACAGTATCCATGCCGCAGCCTACGCTCCCCACCCCCCCCCCCCCCCGCCATCCTAGGGCTGACTCTGTCCCTGTGCCCTCCCGCTTGTCAGGTGACGCTCACCACCATCGGCTACGGGGATAAGTACCCGGTCACGTGGGGGGGGCGGCTCTTGGCGGCCGCTTTCGCCATCATCGGCATCTCCTTCTTCGCGTTGCCCGCCGTGAGACACACATCATCATCATCGTCGTCGTCGTCATCGCCGCTATGACACATCACCATCGTCATCACTTTGACACATTATCATCGGTACGACACATCATCACTACGACGCATCATCATCATCATCATCACGATGATGCATCATCATCATCATCATCACGACGACGCATCATTATTATCACGACATGCCAGTGTGGTGGCACAATCGTAGTGAGCGCTGATGATGATTAATGTGGTCGCGCGAATCTCATGTATGTGGATGATTATGGTAATGATGACAATGTTAATGATGTCAATACTGACGGTGAAAGCGACCGTAATGATGTGATGATGGCGATGATGCCAATGATGACGACGAGGATGCTGATGATCATGCTGGTGCCCCCAGGGCATTCTGGGCTCAGGCTTTGCCCTCAAGGTGCAGGAGCAGCACAGACAGAAGCACTTTGAGAAGCGACGGAGCCCAGCAGCAGGCCTCATTCAGGTGAGAGAGAGTGTGAGAGAGAGTGTGAGAGAGTGTGAGAGAGAGAGTGGGAGAGAGTGTGAGAGAGTGTGAGAGAGAGTGTGAGAGAGAGTGTGAGAGAGCGTGAGAGAGAGCGTGAGAGAGAGTGAGAGAGAGTGTGAGAGAGAGAGTGTGAGAGAGAGTGTGAGAGAGAGTGAGAGAGAGAGAGTGAGAGAGAGTGAGAGAGAGTGTGAGAGAGTGAAAGAGAGAGTGAGTGAGAGGGTGTGAGAGAGTGTGAGAGAGTGTGAGAGAGTGTGAGAGAGTGTGAGAGAGTGTGAGAGAGAGTGTGAGAGAGAGTGAGAGTGTGAAAGAGTGTGAGAGGGTGTGAGAGAGTGAGAGTGTGAGAGAGAGTGCGAGAGAGTGCGAGAGTGTGAGAGAGTGTGAGAGAGTGTGAGAGTGAGAGTGTGAGAGAGTGTGAGAGAAAGTGAGAGAGTGATTGTGAGAGAGAGAGTGTGAGAGAGAGTGTGAGAGAGTGAGAGAGAGAGTGTGAGAGAGAGTGTGAGAGAGTGAGAGAGTGAGTGTGAGAGAGAGAGAGAGTGTGAGAGAGTGTGAGAGAGTGTGAGAGTGTGAAAGAGTGTGAGAGAGAGTGAGAGTGTGAGAGAGTGAGAGAGTGAGTGTGAGAGAGAGAGTGTGAGAGAGTGTGAGGGAATGCGAGAGTGTGAGAGAGAGTGAGAGAGAGTGAGAGAGACTTTAAACAACTTTTATTTTGCCGCCAGCAGCAAAAGCACTGGAGGCGATTTCGATGTGAAATACATAAAGTCACCAGCAAACAAATGAAAATAAACGTTACAAATCCACGCGCTGTGGCGCTAAAAAGCACAGCGCACAACGCAAAAGAAAAGTCACGTGGTGGTGGTGGTCATCGCGCACGCCACGTTGATGAGCGAGCACTTCAGAAGGTGAACATGAGGGTGCCGTCCACGCTGGTACAGAGGGCTTGTCCGGCTCCCCAGCGTTCGAAGAAGACGTGCACATCACCGACATGTGTGTGGTATGCATGCTCCAGCTGCAGCCGCACCTTAAGCAGGCCTCTGAACACTGGAAGCACGGAGCAGCCATCAGTGTCACCTTCCAGCATCTTTTTTCTTGTTCTGTACACCGCCATCTTCGCCTGAGCACAGGCGAAGTTGGCAAGGTCATGGCGTCTGTTAGACAGGTAAGGCACCCCATATACGAAGCTGCTGTTGTAGAAGTGTACCCCCAGTTTCCTGAAGATGTCCCCCAAAAGGCGGAACATTGGTTTGAGCCGCTGGCAGTGTAAGTACTGGTGGGGCAGATCCTCCCTGGCACCGCAGGAAATGCACCAAGTCTGTTACCCCTGGCGAGGTTCGGCTGAGCCACACCGCCGATGGAAACGTGAAGTGTGCCAACCTCCACTGGAGGTCACCGCAGCGTTTGGCTACGGGAGAGACTTGTACATTTGTTTCCACTGAGGGGCGGTTGCAATGAGGGGAGAGAAATAGTCTCTCCATTTTGTGTCCAGTAGGTCGGCCAGGTCCCGGGAATGTAGCGCCTTGACACAGCCACGTGCAGAGCGCTGTGTTTGGGGCACTCTTCAGGGGCACGTTCCTGCAGCCTCGGAGCTCCAGTAGCTTACCGGAGTCGCTGTGGCCGGGGGGCTGCGCGCAGGAGAAGCACAACTCCGGGAAGGAGGAGGAGGGGGGTGGAGGGCCGCCACCATCTCCCGGCGCCTCCAGCTTCAGGCGCAGCTCCTTCATGGCACGGAGCGACGTCCCGCAGCAGTTTCTCCCCAGCGAGCATGGAGCGGCGCCCTGCGGTGTTGGCGATCTCAGCTGCGGTCTTCCACATGGGCTGGTGGGCCTGCACGAGGTGGAAGACTGTCCGCAGCCCTGCTGATGTGAGGCGTTGAGCCAGGGTCCTCTCTCCTCTGATTCCCTGGAAAAGGCCGTTGCAGAACAAGGGGCTCATTCAGGAACAGCGCGAGGTCGTAGGGTGCGTGCGTTCTGCTCCACTCGAAGCTCTGCCACGCGTCCAAGAGGCTCCGGTGATAACCTGGCAGCCTCGTGTAGTCGAGCAGGCTCAGGTCCATCAGGAAGAGCTCCTTTCCGTACCCCAGGCACCCCCCTGCATTCCTCAGCAGGGCGAGGGCCGGCGACTTCCAGGGCAGCTCCTCCCGGTCGTACAGCAGCCGCCTGACCGCCATGAGCCTGAAGCTCACGACCCTGGCGGCGACGTCCACCAGACCCTGGGCGCCCTCGCCCACCGGCAGGCAGAGAACGCCCGGCCTGAGCCAGTGCTTCCCGTGCCAGACGAAGTGTGCGAGTGAGCGGTTGACTCTGGTGGGAAGCCAAGCAGGAGACTGGAGGGCGTTGGTCTTGTGCCACAGCACGGATGCAGCCAGGGCGTTAGCGATGAGCACTTGGCCCCTGAATGACATCTGCGGAGCGAGGCGTGGTGCCCATGTCAGTAATTTAGCCTCGATTGTGTCGGCCAGCTCGGTCCAGTTGTTCAGAGCGACGTCACGTGGTTTCCCCACTGTGGTTTCCCCAAGTGAACCCCCAGGTACTTGACTCCATCGTCACGCCAAACGACGCCTCCTGGGAGGAGCACAGAGAGAGTGTGAGAGAGTGTGAGAGTGAGAGAGTGTGAGAGTGTGTGAGGAACGAGGGTGTTAGAGAGTATGAGAGAGTGAGAGGGAGTGTGAGAGAGTGTGAGAGGAGCGAGTGTGAGAGAGGGAGTGTGAGAGAGAGAGTGAGTGTGTGAGAGAGTGTGAGAGAGTGTGAGAGAGAGAGTGTGAGAGGAGCGAGTGTGAGAGAGAGAGAGTGTGAGAGAGAGAGTGTGAGAGAGAGAGTGTGAGAGAGAGAGAGTGTGAGAGAGAGAGAGTGCGAGAGAGAGTGTGAGAGAGGGTGTCTGTGTGTGTGAGGGGGTGAACGTGAAGTGGTTAGCGCACTGAGCCACCGACCAGGCGACCTAAGTTTGTTTCCTGCTCAGAGCCAATCTCAGTGATGAATATCTGAACCGGTCCTGGACCACCGTTAGGTTTCTTCAGTACTGGAGAGACAAAGGCGGATGGGCGTGGTACTGTCCACACCACCACCCCCTCGTGCGCAGTCCAAGCCTAATTTGGTGCTCGCTAACAGCACTTGTCCCAACAGTGTTGAAGGCTATACGGGGATCTTTACCTGTTAGTCTGTGACTGTGCATGTGTGCGCACGCATGCTGACATCGTGCACACGTGTCGATGTGGGACGTAAATGATGATGCCTTTGCGCGGGCTGGCAGCGGCCGACTTCGAGTAGCAGCAGAAGCCATCACTCGTGGGCCCTGCCCCGTTGCATCCTGCCAGTCAGCCTTCCCACTCAGAGTGGTGATGTCACAACCATTTAATGTAATATTAATAACGTAGCAGATTTTGAAAACCATGCTCTTGCTGGTGACGATGATTGTGATGGTGACAAGGATTGAAGGTGATGATGATGACCATGGTGGTGATGTTGATGATCACAATGGTGACCATGGTGATGATGGTAATTGCAGGCAGCGTGGAGGATCCACGCCACGGACCCGTCCCGCGTGGACCTCACCTCCACGTGGAGGTTCTACTACGAGTGCATCCCTTCGCTAAGGCAGGTGTCAACAGCCACTTCACCCGACCCCCCTTACCCTTGTATCTTGCCTAAAAATTGAACCCCTTCATCATAATCCTAACCCTTACCTGAACCGCCAACTCTAACCCCTGGCCCCAACCGTCGCCTTAACCCCTGACCCTCGCACCCCGTGCTGCGCCTGCGCTGCCCGCACTCCACCGCTCACTGGTCGCATGGAGGCTGCATGAGCGTCGCGAGCGGCTTGCGTCGGCGCCGGGAGCCACCCAGCAGCGGAGCGCGCGGAGTCTCGAGTCGCACGGCCCGGGGGTCAGGGTCGTCTCGGGCAGCCTGACGCGCGCCGACAGTCGGGACTTCTCTCGTCGGCGCTTCCCCTGGGAGCAGCTCCACCATCGCAGACGCACGATCCGGATGCGGGGGGTGGCGGCCGGTGCAGCCGCGAAGCGGCTTTCTGCCTGGGGCGTAACACATCGACCGATTGGCGCCGTTGACTCGGGGGGGAAATAATTTTGTCCGCCTGCTTTGATGAGGCAGAAATGCTCGTACAATACCGCGGTGTCGGGACCGACTTGGACGAACCGACTTTCTCGCGCGCGCTGGGTTGGTGCCGGCGTGTTCAGTTTTGTGTGCGTGTCATTCCCTTCACTTGTTCCGTAGATAAGCTGTATTTAAAATGCATATTGTGCCTTCAAAATTCTACCATGTTGGTTAGCACAGGCGGCTATGTACGGCGCGAAAGAAGTTCAACATACATATATATTAGGATGATGTTTTTTTATGCTGAGGTCTCATTTGGGGAACTGCCCTTGAATGAAATTGAAATCGTTTTTTTTCTCTCCCACAATTGCATCTCAACGCCGTTGTCGTCGTCGGGGTCACGAGACTAAATGAATTGCAGTCGGAATTCCCTCGGCATTTGTTAGACCTGCCCCAGAATTTATGTTTGTCACAGCGCAGCTTCTCATGTGACGTCGATACATCTTTTATTTTACATTCGCAGAGCACCTTTTGGCTGCCCCGTTAAGAGCGCTTGTAGCATGTCATTAAAACTGAAACTGTTTTAATTACCGCAGCTAGGATGTAGCCAATTTAAGTGCGTTTTTATTTTATTACGATCGGGTATTTTTGTGTGTGGAGTCATCAACTCGCTATACCTGATAATCCCATTTCATAACGGGCACGCAAAACCTGTTTTCAAACCCGGATGGCAGCTTTGCTGGCTCAGCATTCTCTGACGTGGCCATTATGAACTCTTGAGCCACCTGGCCAGCCAACGAGGATTGGCATCACCACCTTTGCTTGCGACCCATCGTGGGGTCACGACTGAATCACCCAGTGAAACTCTGCGCTCAGCAGCTCGATAGAATTCCAAGAATTCTAAAAGTGGCTTCTAAGTGGCCGAGTCTTGAAGGTTTTATCAAAAGCCTAAGAATATTAAAACGTTCCCTCATTTGGCTACGAGACACCTGAATGTGCTCTGGCTCCCGGGGCAGAGCGATTGTAGAGACATTAGTCTGTAAGTAATCGTTGCCGCCGTTCATGTACCTGCACTCTGGCGTGACATGCCTCCTGCGACCGCAATCACAGTGGAACCCTCTGTGTTTTTAGCTGCCGCCTGCTTGTTTCCGTAGTTACTGGAAAGCACTTTACGTGGAGAACTTTTAAGTGGCCGTGTCACAGGCTGTTAGTGCCAGCAAATGTTCCCGTCGACAAAAAATATCGTCGCCTTTCAAACAGCGCAATGCGCGTGACTCTAGAACAGGGGTCACCAAGCTTTTTTCACAGTGGGCCGGATAACTGAAAGAATGACGAGCGTGGGCCGCATAATAAATAAATATTTCTGGAGCGTCGGACCTGTGTTGACAGCTGGAAAATCTGGGGGCGGGAAAGATGCGTGTTTGTGTGTGTTGCCATGGAAACCATGGTAACGTGTTGCCATGACGTTGCCATGGAAACCATGGTAACGTCAGAGCGTAGGCGGAGCTACCACGAGCCGGGGAAGTACTTGGGATGGCACGAAATAAGCAAACATTACAATAAACAAGAAAATCTAGATACAATAATTTAAAATTTAAAATAGTAAATTTAAGGAACATAGCAGTCAGGAGGTCTCCACACGCGTGAAGATCTCCTAGTATTCTAAACATATTTAAATTGTATCACAACGTCTCGTGTTCCATACGTTTTATCAAACAAATTCAAGTACCGTCGGCGGGCCTGATGGACTGACGTCGCGGGCCGGATCCGGCCCGCGGGCCGTAGTTTGGTGACCCCTGGTGTAGAAGATAGAAGCATTCTGAAGTCGTTTGTCTATCCGCAAAAGCTTCACAGTCCCAAGACCCCCGATTTTAGGAGGGTCTTGCATTGGGCAGTTTGGCCAGTTCCTCTGTCAGGAAAGGCACATGGGAGGAGAATGGAGCGTCCGCAGAAACTCCCCCACTGTGCGCGTGGGCATTCCCTCCTCTTCCGAGGGAGATGCGGACATTGTGAGTATCGTAAATCTCTGGGTGTTCCACCAACCCCCCCCCCCAACCCTCCAAAGTGTTGGATCACGATACACGCGATCATTTTTGCGGTGGCGCCGCCGCTGTATTCTTCGATCAGGTGTGGGAAGCATTGGGACGCGCGAGAAGCGGGGAGCAGTGGGTGGGGAGCAGTTCAATTCGTGCGGAGCGGGGAGCGGGGGGATGCGTGAGGAGCAGGGAGCGGGTTGCCGGGTGCAGGGGGACGCGCGGTGAGCGAGGAGCGGGGAGCGAGGGGTGGTCACACTCGGCTGAGTTATCGCCACGGAGGACGAGCGGCGGCGGCGGTGAGGGTCACTGCCGCCGCCTCCCAACGTGAGGAATTGAGCCGCCCGTCCTCGCGCCTCGATCGCCGAGCCAAACTGGCAATCGCTTTTTCATTTTTCACCCACGCGGACGGAGGTGCACGGGCAGCCGTCAGCTTGAGCTAGAAAATAATAACTTTGGCTCCTCCAATATAAAATAATAATACTGGCGGCTTCCGTCTCTTAATGCTGAAGCTGTGGACTTCTCCGATAGAAAGCAAATGGCAGAGAGCTGATCCGTGGTTGGAAATTAAAACAAAATGTTCGTGGCACTGCATCGGCAGCGGTGCACGAGCACAAATAATAATAATAATAACTTGACACATTTGTTAATAACACTGCCCGACGTAGGAGGGAGATCTCTGCTTTGAAGAAGAGCGATTGCCTGAATCGTCACCTATCATATAACTTGTCCTCTTCATGGCAGTATTATTAATTAATGTGGTGACTTTTTGGGAACAGCTGCTTAACAATAAAACTAAGCTGAACACCAGCTCCTTACCGCGGATACAGCTCCCAAATAAACCCCTCATGAAACACATTTGCAGACAGCAATGGATCGATTCCTATGTTCACGATGGATGCATGAAACCGTGCGTGTGAGAATCCATCAATTACGGTTCGCGTAATTTGCAGTACGGTATACGCAAACATGATGCTAATGGTATACTGGGGCCAACGGGAGCACCTTGGGGTTGTCACGCACTGGGGGTGGGGAGATGGAATGTTAGGTGTGAGGCAGGTTACTTGCTCTAGCATCATAGCAAGTTCCATAGCGCCGTAACATTATATCAGAGAAGAGAAATCGGTATTGGAGAAGGGTGGGGGGGGGTCTTGCACCTGCTTTGGAAAGGGGGCAGGGATTTGGTGGCCAGCTATTTAATAAACTGTTTTATTTGACAAGGCCCACTGAGCGATTAGCTCTTAGTCAGAAGCGACCTGGCCACAGATGATAAATGTGGAGGGGAAGATCCTCGAAAACTAAACTCCACGTGACCACAGGGATAGAGACACGCAAACTCCAAATATACAGCAGCAGGCGTCAAGGGTCAAGATCGAACCCCACGACCTCTTTCATACCAGGCAAGGGAGATAATATCTTGCCAACGTACAGGTGGCAGGGAATTCCAGACTGGGGCAGCAGAGGAGCAGCAGGAGCCACCTTCTGCATGTATTATGGACAGAAAATGATTCATATTCTTGGTTCTTTCGGTAAAGTCACGGAGAAGGGAAACAATAAAATAATAAAAATATAAAACAATATTTTTTGTATTTTTATTCTTTTATTGTTTCCCTTCTACGTGACTTTACCGAAAGAACCAAGAATATGAATCCCTGCAGTCACGAAAGCTTTAAATCAAAAAGAAAATGATACAATTTACCCATTAGAGCCTCACTTGAGTCTCAAGACTGCTTCGTGTCAGGGGTCCTGTTTGGAATGTTTGGCCAATCGCTTTTTTTTTTCAGTGTGTTGTGTCTTGAAAGAAACCGGCGTGTCTTCAGAAAAACTCATGAATATGAGAGGAACAGGCAATATTTTTTTCTCTGCACATAACAAAAATACACCCCAGTTTCAGCTAAATTGTTTCAGCACAAACAGTTTGTGACATTCATTAGTGCCACATCAGCACATGCTGATGAGGCACTAATGAATGTCACATAGGCAAAGGGGCCCTTCTCTGTTCGACTTGGGTCTTAGTTTTGTTGCTTATATTTCCCACAAGCGAGAAAAGTGCCCGCACGCCGGTGCATGGATGTGTAAACGACCTACTTGACGTACTGTACTGCCTCAGCAGACACCACTTCGAAAATGCAATTAACCAGAACGTAGACTTTACCTTTAACGAGGGCGAGCGACGGAGTGCATTAAGCGCCGGTTTAAATGCGCAACAGGAGCATAATAGATGGTGGAGGATTCATCCGCGCCACAAGTATAATTAAGCATATTTAAGCAGCTGATATGCGGCTCACTGTTGTGCCCAGGGAATGTTCTGTCCGTACGCGTGTCTGTGAATACTTAGTGATGCTGTGGACCAGTGCCAATTGGTTTATGCACGTTAAAACGCGAGGCTGAAAGCGTGTATGAATCTGGTCTCTAAAGTCCTCTAGATCTCCCTGGGGTTAAGTCTGTGGTGTCCCTGTGTACGTCGATAAGTCTCTGTGTGGTCTATGTAAATTCAGTGGGGGCTCGACG